GTGGCCTCGACGAGCCCCGTTTTCATGAGTCGAATGGGTGAGTCAACAAACTGCTTGGCCCAATTGCCATCCTTACTAATTGCACTAGCATGTGCATCGTCAAGTGGGCCTTCATACAAGTTTTCGACATGGTATTTTTGAGTCGTGGTGGGAGATCGAAGATGGAATGCCATCATTTCGAGAAGAGCACTACTAGCATGAAGCCATGTTTGCATAACACGTTTCATTAACGCTTTTCCCATCAAATCTTTCATATTGACACCAGAACCAGAACAAGTTCAAATAAAACATAACAAAAGTAGATCTCTTTCAATCTTTAGATCAAGACCAAACAAGCACGTTTATAAACCTCCATAATTCACGATCGAATCATTACTTTTTTAAACCAACCCATAATTCAACATAGAAACTTAAGCTATAAATTTGCAGTCTAAATCCGAAGCAAGAAACAATCTCTATGCATTTCCATTGTTAAAACATTGAATAATAAAAAATACAAAAAATTAAAAAAATTAAAAAAAATGCAATCAAATAAAGAATTAAACAACTTGATAAAACAAATGTCAATATTAACTATCTATTTCCGTTCATGTTTTTAAAACCTCAAATATTCAGAACCAAGATTGAAAACCTATATCGGATCTAGATCCAAACATCCAAACACATCTCATCATTCAAACGGGAAAAGAATATTGAAGCAATAAAAGGATCATGTACATACAGAAATTAGTAACTAAGATATCTGTGAGTGAAGAAGAGACACAAAGATATGGCTTTGTAACCTTTGTTACCGAAAGAGAGAGAGAGAGGGCAATTCTTGCATGCGATGCTGCGGAGAACCACGGGTGGACCCACATGGGGTCAAATGACCCCACAAAATTTTGGTTTTTTTTTTTTTTAAGAAAAAAATTGTTTTAACCGTTTTATGATCTACTTCAATACATGTCAAATGAAGTTGAAACATTACATTCTTAATATCATTTCGAAGTGCTCATAACCTAATTTTTCGATTCCTAATGGCCTGCGAAATAATCAACCGTAGCAAAAGTTATGATGTATCAAAATAAGCCGCTCCAAATTAGTATTTCGAACAGTTCGATAATATGGTAACTTTTAAAACTTGCCAATGATCGTATATTATCTGAATCCACAAATTGCATGCGTCATCTAGAAGCTTATTTCGAGAACTATGTAATAGTCATATTGAATGATCTAAACGAATATTGAAAATAGTTAAACATGTGTCAAACGTACGTTCTAGAAAAGACATTTAACTCGTTTCTTCTTTTAAAACTCAATATTTCATTAACGTTTATTAATTTTGTGCGATAAACTTTTCAATATAATTTACATCATTTTATTAGAAAATTTTACATGGAAGATGACGTCAAAAATTCTAAAATCGTTACGCATTAAATGTAATTTGAATTACTTTCAAATTATTTTTTTCGTTATAATTAAATTTCATTTAATTTCAATTCATTTACTTCTTACATCTAATTTGATTTATTCACCATTAACTCAACATCTAAAAATGATATGGTAAACAAAATTATACATGTAGCAAAATTCATTTAATACTATTGATAATGGTATAATTATAAGATATTTTCAAGGTGTCAAAATGCGTATTAATTTATTTTTATTAATATTATATTATTTTGAAAAATTACACATTAGTTTTTGATCCCACAACCTAGAAAGGTTGGGTCCGCCCCTGCTGAGAACGTGTTGGATAATGTGGAGATATGAGGTGAGTGGCAAATATATAGTTTTTGTTAGCGGCCTGAATTGGAAGAAATACTTCGTGGCGATGCGACGTCCAATGTCAAGGCACCACCTCGACAGTGGCCCACACACCTCGGGGGTGTGTGGTGGACCACCCACCGAAGTGGTCCTCTCTTACAAGACGATCCTACTGAAGTATCTCTCCTAAATTGGGCTTCCAAAACGAAAAAGGTAATTACATAAATAACAGTAATTTGAGCTTCCCCCTGTTTTGGAAGGCAGAGCTCTAATTTTGTACATGTATTAGATATAACTAAAACTAACACATGTCGAACTGTCTTGTAACGATCTTTAGGATTTTCAATCGAATTTATCTATTTCATGCAGTATTCATATGATAAGTTCATCACGAATTTAAGCATCGGACTTTTGTAAGCTATCTTACGCTGGATATTTAAATGCTTTGTATAACTGTTAAGTCTCTCCTATCATTCTAATAAAGGTATTCTTTTCTTTGAAAGCCTAATAAAGGACTTTAATACAAAGTGAAAAAATAATAAATAATTTGAGTACCGTACACCAGTTGATAAATTCTTTACTAGAAGCGAGAAAATTGTCATTCGAAAGGAATATGTTTGGAATTCTTGTTTTAAAGGTAGGTTTGGACCACCATACTAGACACAGCGCAAGTCGCAAGATGGGTCAAAAACCGAGTTATATTAGCTAAAATGAACGAGTCAAACAATACTCGTAGTTGTTCAACACTTTGAATATTTTAACTTGTAGTCAGGTCACTCAATTTAATTATTTACATTTTAACTTAATTTCTAGATTTTACTGTTAATTACCATAATGATTTGGTAGATTACTTAAGTAGTCATTTGGAAGATTTGATCAATGGATTTTTTGACATTATTTTGATGGACAATGAAAGCAAATAAGTACAGTATCAACTAATAAATTGCTAAAAATTTGTTAACTATTCAAATATCTACAATTATTTTTGAGTATGCATTCTTTATTAGTGGTTAAATTTTTTATTCTTTAGAAGCTCATTGAGTATAAATATGGTTGGGACGGTGATATACCATAAAAATTGGTTACATAGTAATGAGAATATATAGTGATTCGTCAATATTTAGATGAGGTAGAAGTATCGCATGATTTACAAAATGTTATAGAAAATATTATCGTATTTGATCTTTTCATTCATTTTCTTTGATTAGTTGTTTCATATCATTTAACTATAATCAATAAATTCATATATTATATTCTTATCTTTATGAAGAGAATAAATTGCGTTTTCCAATTGCAGATGTTGTGCTAATTAGTATCGATCAAGAGTATAAAATATTTTTACAATGTTGCTGCATTATAATAATTGGAATTATAGAACTTTGGTTTGTAATATATTTAACGATTCTATTTATATTTTAACGTAAAATTTTATACTAACATTTATGACTTATTTGATATTTTTTTCTTTCTTAAATCGTGATTTTAAACGAACCAAACCCAAAAAAAGGGGTTTGGCTTGTTTAAAAATTTATTACAAATCGTTCAAATCGAATCATGTTTACACTAAGTGGGAGTGAGTATATCATAAACATGAATTTGGTTAATGGAGACATATAGATTGCTGATAATTTGATAATTTAGTCATATGCACATAAACTGTCCACAAAGGATAAGCACTCCCGTATACGATCGAAAGCCCCACAGTGTACAGAAGTAGGTATCAAAATCCTCTAGTATAAGAACCTTTATACACAACCTGAACCACCTTTGTAATAGAGGATTTATTTATTTATTTTATTTTATTTATTATTATTTTTTTTAATAAGTTAAGACCTTTGGGTCACGCCATGGTGGAGGGAGGTTGGCCAATGAAGTTCTAGCCACCACTAAAATTTTTTGATAGAAAATTTTTTAGTAGCTATGTTAAATCCGTACCACATCTAAATCCTGACTCCACTACTTAATATACAAAAGGGAAATTCCAATTGTATATACTCCAGTGTAGCACATGTGAAGGGGTTGTACACTGGAGTGTTCATGTCGCAAATCTCTATACAAAAATCAAATTGAGACCCAGTGGGTTCCTGAAAGTGTGAACAATTAATGCAAATTAATAACTTATAAATGCAGACTATTTAGTGTATACGAAACAGTTACATGTACAACCTTTTTCTTAGGTAAGTTGATGTAAATGGACGGGGGAAATATCACTTGAAGTCACAAAATTTACAGATTTGTTTCATGTTCATCATTTAACTTCTGTTTGTTTTAATTTGATCTGTAAACTTAAATTTTTTTACCATTCTATCTATATTTAATATTCCTTATCAAGAATGACAGAATTCGTAACTTTGCCACCGAAATTCATCATCCACCTACTATTTTTTAAACTATATATATAGGAAAAAGTCATGAGTACGGGGAATTTTTAACAGAATCTTTATAGATGCTGATGAGGCCACAGATGATTGGATTGCTTTTTTTCCCTCTATCCATCTTCCAATTAATTCCCACCACGTGTTATCTATCAACGTTTTCTTTAAAAAAAAATTCTACAATTATAACATTAGATATATAGAAAGATGATTTAATGAACACCGATACTTAACATAAATTAAACATCAATGCTCTTTAAATTACACACACTCGCGCACACACACATATTATCAACACTCTGGTCACGGCTTCTTTAGTGTTCATAATAAAAAAATCAAATGTATCAAATTGAAATAAAAAAATACAAGTTAGGTGATCAAATTAAAATAAATTGAAGTTGGAATATAAAACAAACATGTAACTTAAGTGGCCTTCAATAAAATTTGTCCAAGTGGATACGTAGAATCGTCCCTATCACTCTATTTAGAGAAAATGATCAATCAAAAGCAGCCTAATTAATTAATTAATTAATTAATTCAACTACATGTTTTATAAGATTCATTACTTTTATTTATTTTTATAAAAATTTGCTAATTTTTTTTTTTTTATCAAAATCATTATATGATCACAATTTTTATCAATTTTTTGACCACATATTTCATCAAATTTTATAAAAAATTAATTTAAAAAAAAATAAAAAATCTAACAGGTCTAAGAGAAGGAAAGAAAAGCCAAATAGGACTCAAAATCCCAAGAAAAGTAGCAGAATTGGTTCAAGAAGACCCAAAAAAATTCTGCAAACCAAGGAGCCTTTAGTTGACAAATATATAATTTTTAAGTGCCTTTTTTTTTTTTTTTAGAAAAATAGTAAAAATTGATGCTTCATCAATCCTTCCTTTGAACTTCATTGAAGGTTCACAATTGTCTGGATTTTCTTTTCCACATTTGTCTTTTTACACATCTTTTACCACCAAGACTTTGAATTTTCATAATTCAACGGGACAACTTCTCTATATATGTAAATATCCCAGTGTTCCTAGCTATGTATTTAGTTTGTGTTAAGAGTTGCTGGTTATATTCAACATCCCCAAGAGCGGACCTAATATCCGTACGTATAGAAAGAATTCTTAAGGTATGTTGATCGGTGTTTAAGAGAGGTATCACACATCGAAGGTGTACCAGTGTATAATGAAATACTGGGTATTTTTATTGAAACAATCGTAATGTGTCATGAATTTTTGTTTGCAGGATTTTGTTCATCTGGAATCAAGAACTTGAAGTTCCTGCTGGTGATAACGAATGGGGCTTTCTTTTTCACTACTTTCATCAGCATGGAATGAAATTTTGGGTCATCGGTTTTATGATTTGACAGACACTGTAGAAACATTTATTGCCAGATCAATAAGCTTTGGAAGCAAAGAAGGAGAACTAATCTTGATGAAATCACACAGCTTCAAGAATAAAGATATGGAGAAACCCCAAAAATCTGAAAAAGAAATGCTAAAAACACATGTTCCACTGAAAGAATTGGTTGTAGACAACGAGAATGAAACCTCAGATTATTCAGAAGTTAAGAAGTCGAAACCCGAGATTCCATTTCCTGTTCAAGAACCCTTCGTGTTTTCTTCCCCGAGACCTGTTAACGAGCTGAATTCTGCTGCCACGACGCTTCAGAAAGTTTACAAGAGTTACCGGACGAGAAGGAACCTTGCAGATTGTGCAGTTGTTGTTGAAGAGCTTTGGTGTGTGCCATAATAACTTTTTTCATGTTTTAGTCTATATCCTTTTATGTGCATTTCTCATTTCATTCTATGTTGTAGGTGGAAAACCTTGGATTCTGCAGCTCTGAAACAGAGCTCGATATCGTTCTTCAACAAAGTTGAACACGAAACTGCCGTGTCCCGGTGGGCTCGTGCAAGGACGAGGGCTGCTAAGGTATGCTCTGGACTTAATCTGATGTCCAAGTACAAATACCATTCTATATAAAAAAGTATAGTCTCAGAATTGACCCAAGAAATGCTTGCTTCTCATAGGTTGGCAAAGGTTTATCCAAGGATGAGAAAGCTCAGAAATTAGCACTGCAACATTGGCTTGAAGCTGTAAGCCTTAAACTTTCCTTAAATTTGTTTGCTACCATATTACTATGTTCACACCGTTCTGAGATCCAAGAAAGATCAACTTACACATAAGACTTGTTGGGTCGGCTGGCCGGGCTAGCACCCCTTGTCACCTGTGTACCTATAGCCAATTTGCTGCACCATCGACCACATAACTGTAACGATCATCTGAGAGTTACTCGTCTTTTTCTGACAGATTGACCCTCGTCATCGCTATGGACACAACTTACACTTCTACTATGACGTATGGTCGGAGAGCAAAAGTTTTCAACCGTTCTTCTATTGGTAATACCTTTTTCTTATAGAAGCACCACATCCACATGAAACTGCTTCCTATTTGGACCTTATGTTTTTTGCCTTATCTTTGCCTTGAAGGTTGGATGTCGGTGATGGTAAAGAAATAAATCTTGAACGTTGCCCCAGAGTCAATCTGCATCGTCAATGCATTGAATATCTTGCACCAGTAAGCTTTATATCACTAATTTTTTTCCTAAACTTGTCTGTCCTAATCCCATGATTAATGTGTATTTCGCTTGCTTCTGATGGATCGTGCTGTCTGATTATACTATGTACTCATTTTCTGGATTGTGAATAAGTGTGTTTTGATTTAAAAACAATAAGGACGTGTATGGCATGACTTCTAAAAGACCGAAAACTGCATTAAGAAGCTGATTTTAGGGCATATTTGGATAATTTTCTGAAAGTACTTCGTCTGATTAAGATAATTTTTAGAGAAAGCTGTCCAAGACACCTTCTTTATGTAGATCTTCTACAGAAAGCAGAAGCTAACTCAAATATGCCCAAGTCACCCATGTGTTCTAACATATATAATGAATGATTATTTATGAAGCCATTCTAGTGAGAGGCATGAGATCACGAAAGTAATCTTTCATAGGTTTATTCTTCTTTATAGTGAAGCCATTTTTCCTAATGACCATCCCGCTTAGATTGAATTGTTCAACGATTTATTAGTAATGTGAAGCATTTGCCTGTCTAAAAATGTTCTATTCCAACCTTTTACCTCACAGAAACAGAGGGAAAAGTATGAAGTGATCGTAGATGAAGGGAAATTAGCATACAAACAAAGTGGGTTTCTCTTGAATACAGCTGAAGGCTCAAAATGGATTTTTGTCCTAAGTACATCAAGAACTCTGTATGTAGCACAAAAGAGAAAAGGTGTTTTTCAGCACTCCAGTTTTCTCTCTGGTGCAGCTACAACAGCTGCTGGTAGATTAGTTGCTCATCATGGTATTCTAGAGGTACAACTTATGGACATCTATGTTAAATTTATTCGATTCTTTTTAGTTGTTCGTCTATATTTTGTGTATGTGCTTATTGGTTCTTGTTTTCTTCAGGCAATATGGCCATACAGCGGCCACTATCTTCCAACCGAAGATAATTTCAAGGAATTCATCATGTTTCTTGAGGAGAATCATGTAGATTTAACAAATGTTAAGGTATTCCACTAACCCTTCTGGCTATAATTCATAGAATATAGCAAAATACATAAACATCAAGGCATGTATTTAATTAAGTACCCACCTCAGATGTAGGTATAGTTAGCTTTATCCCATGTTGTATAGTTTGTTTCAACACTATGTTAAAACAATATTTGATGTTTTCCACTTTTTTCCACAGAGGTGTGCAATAGATGATGACAGAACCTCATTTAAGGAAGATGCCATCAAAGTTGAGGGACCAGACAATAATGCACTCAAGGCACCACGTGCTGGCAGTACATCAATCAACACAGCTAATATAGAAGCACCCAAACTTGACCTTCCCAAGACTTTATCTTGCAAGTGGACTAGTGGAGTCGGGCCCCGCATCGGATGTGTTCGAGACTACCCAATGGAGCTTCAGTCTGAGGCACTAGAAAGAGTAAATTTATCGCCTAAAACAACACCAGGCCAGCCGAAGAGTTGTGTGCCCATCCCATCTCCACGACCAAGCCCGAAAATACGAATGTCACCTCGGCTTGCATATATGGGACTTCCTAGCCCAAGGGTGTCTCTTCGTGCCTAGTCAAGTGGCGACACACACCTACCCACCTAGAAGAGCAACTCGCTCTTTAATGTCGTCATGGCTAACCTAAGTTCTCTTCCAGTCAACTGTCGATCAAGTGAAGTGCAATAACACTTTTTCTATTTTTCGTAGAGCTGCTAGGTCTACATTCTTGTTCCTTGATTCTTGTTGAACGCATAACCATGGGATAAATGTCTCCTCTTTATGCAAGTTCAATTTTTTTTTGCTACCATAAATAAGAAGGAATAAATGGTCGAAATATTGTTTCCATTTCGTTACGCTTGTGTTGCCTTCACTTTTGTTCAATAAACTTGTGTTGCCTTCACTTTTGTTCAATAAACATCTAAATAAAGAAGAATATATCATTCTATTTTTCCATTCAAGAGCACGACATTTCTTCTCCTCCTGATCGTCTTGACAAGATGCTTCTGTCCTCCCAAAAAGCCCTCATTTGCAAATCCAATCGAACACATTGTAACAATTCGGAATTGCCAGAAAAACTAGAATCCTAATCAGATTTACTTCAAATGATAATCCATAAACCTCAGAACAGGGCAAACAACCAAGTTTGTCCCTTCCACAGAATAAAATGCCAGATAAACATGTGACTGTCAAATTCAAGCACAGAAGCTCATCAGAATCACAAAGACAAACAAATAATAAGTTAACAACATAAAATTACAGGAGTTCCGATAAATATATCACGTACAAAGCTGGAAAATTGGCGAAAATCCAGACTGAGGTTGTATGAATAGACATTAAACAAACCCAAGAAAAAAGTATCCCCAGCTTCCAAGTTCCAGCACCAGGTTGAAACCTCGTATTGACAACTGATATACGTGGAGAGTTTATCATTGAATCCAGGCTTCAGATTCCAAGCTACAAACATAACTTACAATTCAAGAATATGTAAAAATGGAAAAGTTTAAACCTTAACCAAATTTAGCTTCGTGCACATCTCATGGCACAGTGCTTCGTGAAAAAGATAAGCATAAATGTTCACTAACATCAAAGCAATTACAAAATAAATCAAGCGTTAGTTACTCATGTTGCATAAATTTGAAAGGAACCATATTCATAAAATCCTTCCATAAAATCATAAATTCCATGTTGAAATCAAAGAGACAACAAAAAGTGCGGAAACATACCTTGATCCATGAATATTACTGCTTTAATTGGGTTTTGATCTTCCAATTGATACGTGATTCTCCTTCCTTTTGGTTTTCTTCAAAGTCTCTGTTGATGGGGATGCAGAGATATTTTCCAAAGAAAATCACGTTCAAATTGGGGACCATAACCACTTTTAAAATAACTGCTATTGGCAGTTATTAACTTTAAGTTATTTCAAATCGGCCCCTCATCAATTCAAAATAACACCTTCTGGTCTCTACACTTTAATCCCATAAAATTTAATACCCATTAGTCCAAAATTAAATCCAATGGATCACTTTATCGACTATATTTACTTTAAAATAGCACCACACATTCTAATAAATGTACATGTGTGGCCCCAAAGTTGGAATTTTTTCCAACAA